GTGGGTCTAGGTCAGGGGGTGCCTGGCAGGGACCGGCTGCCAGCCAGCGGTTGTCTCTGGCCTGTTAAAACTTCAGGTGCAGCTTCGGGATCCAGACGTCGGTGGATGTCCTTCGCCTTGCTCGCTGGAGGAGAGAAACGGTCGTACCGATCTAAATGGCCAGGAACTGCTCCAAGTGCCTCTCACGCTTCCTCCGGCCTGCAGCTGACCCTGGCCACGCTGTGCCACGTTCCAGCCTCGTCTGCGAAATTCGGACCAACGCCTGTAACCTGCACTTGCAAGTGAGCTCTGTTCGGAGGGGTGAGAAAGAATCATCCCTTTTAGTACAGATAATCATGTTATTAAAAGAAATCATTGTAAAAGGCTCTATCCAGTGACAAACTTTGAAGGAACAGCTGATGAATTCTTAATAGAGCAGTCACTACATGAATTTGCAGAATTTTTAAATAAGCATGAAAGGGATTTGTTAGAAAGTCTGCTCTCCAGCTCAGCTCTTTCTGGGATATAATTGTATCTCTTTGAAAACAGCATGGTTTGCTGAATATTCATTAGGCCTTAGGTTGAGAAAAGTACATTTTGCTGATTGTCTCAGAGCCGATTCCCTTCTCATGGAAGTGAATGTGTGTGATCAGCAGCGCTCAGTGAGGGTTCCGAGGGCTCCGTTCCGCTCTCGGGGGGGAAGCACCTTGGGCCCAAGTTCACAGAGCAGGTCTTGGGGCTCTGCTGCCTGGCGAGCGAAAGCCTGGGAGCGGTGGGGTTTTAAGGAGGAGGCAGTGAGAAGCTGTTAGGTTTGAAATGCTGAAGGAAGGAGCAGGATGTGTGTCATTCCTCAAAAGTGACAGGCACCGAGGCCAACGTGTGCTTGTTAATTAAAACAACCGGATCAGGGGTGCAGCTGGAGCTGCCCGGCAGCAGCTCTTGCAGCTCTTTTTCCCATGTGTCCTGAAACTGGCCCAAGCCAGCACCCCCCGAAAAGGGCTGACCCCCCCTTTCACCGCTGCTGTTGGCCTTCTCCCCACGAGCACCTACTCCACGCGAGACACAGCGCGCCCTGTGCCCTCCCCGCTCCATCCAGCTCTCGGGCCAGCTGCGGTCGTTTTACAATCATTATTTTAAGAGCAGGAGACTAATGAGGAGGAGAGCTGGGTTTTACATTTTGATGAGAAGGTGATAATGCTGGCTGCACAGACTCCCCGAGGAGCCGTAGCACTTACCGTTTGCCTCGCCTCCTTAGTTTTTATAGGCGTCAGGAATGAAGGCTGAGGTTTTGAGGCAGCGAAGCATCCATTAAGAAGCGCTTACAGTGACCTTGGAGGCTGAGGTAGTCATCTGGCACTGCCTGAAAGCAGGAGTGGCGTTTTGTCAGGGGCCAGAGGTGGGATGCGGTTTCTGTATCATTTGTCAGATGATTTGCTCCTGAATCTGCCTCTTGGGAAGGCTGAACCTCTGCCTCCTGCTCGTTCTTGCACGTTTCTTTTCCCTCCCTGAGCAGGGATGAGAGTCCTGAACCG